AAAAGCGACGAACTCCACTCCAAACCGCGACGAATTCCACTTAGAACCCTCACTTTACATACAAGTTCGAGTTGTATTAACTGAATATCTAGAAACGGAATGCTCTTGGGCTTGTATTAACTATAATTCTTCGTTTGAAAGCACGCTTGTATGACCTTTAGATCTCTGTTGTTTACTGGAAAGCTTGCTCTCCAGTATGGCGTTGCTATGCGGTATCCAAGCACGTGATCTCTAGCTGCAAAAGGCCTATTATTACGTACGTGACGTCTGAGAAGATTGGTAATGAATATTCTAATGCATATTGAATACCAAAGTGAGCATAAACAAAGTTTCTTCTTCGATCGATCCTTGCCAGAAATCCGGTGATCGATAAGCGAAATCTTTGATTTAATTCCTCAAAATGGCGGCAAATAATTCTAGTTATTTCAATGAGCGAATCTTTCACATCTACGAGAAAGTGTCGATCAGCTCGGCTATCTTCCTCAGTTTCGTGGCGCTTGGAACGATCATCACTAATGGTGTCGCCTTGGTCGCCATCTTCAAAGATCCTCTCAAATGCTTTCGCAACCCAATGGCCACTTTTATCACTGGGATTCTGGTATCTGACTTCCTCACTGGACTGATCGTTGAGCCTGTCTTGGTAACTACATATGTCATCTGGATGAATACTGAGTTGAATCTTGAAGACTATGAAAAAATCATCCGCAGCTGTCAGATCCTAGGCGCAGTAACTGTAAACACCTCGTTTCTTACAGTCCTTGCGCTAGCAGTTTCCCAGTTACTAGCTCTAAGATGGCCTTCAGTGTATAATCGGTACGTCACCAGTCCGCTTGCTATTTTTGGGATAGTTTGCATCTGGTTGTACGCCATAATATTCGCCCTTTTGCCAGAGATAGCTAACATGTCCATCGAAATTTATTTCTTTGTTGACTTGATTCTGCACACCACTTTAATCTCATTTGCGCTAGTCATTATCTATATTATTATCTTCCTTTCCTTTAAACGCGCAATGAGAAGGCATGGAATTGCTGCAGAAGCTCAAGAAGAAGACGAGAACCRACAAGACATCCCGAAACAAAAGGTCGAGAAAGAGTTCATCGTTGGTACGTTCATCGTCATCCTGGTTTTGATCGTCACTGTCTGGCCCTTCACAATGACTTTCTACATCTTAATAGTACAAATACTACAGACGAGCTTTACTGAATCTACCTGGAAACTGTACGTTGTGTTTGTTCTCTTCAATGACATTTTGTACTTGAAATTCCTACTGGATCCTCTCATTTTCGTCTGGCGCCTATCCAAGTACAGGGAAGCCATAAATGTGGTCTTCGCTCCCGTCAAAGGGAAGCTATGCTGCTATGCTCGAGGTCGTCTTCCTAGCGCAGCTTATCATCGACAAGAAGGCGAAGGTTCTGCCGAAGATCCATTGGCGCCGGAATGGAGCACTGATGTAAGCGGTGCTTTTACCAAAGAAGTTGAAGATGAACCTGTAGAGGCATAGAAAACTACAATATACATGGACTGTGAGTGGAATCCCCAGGGGGGTGTACTCGGGTGGGTAACATGGCGGGACGGTCCGACATATTTTTTTGGGTTGACAATTTTTGTTCCCGGTATTTTTTTGGGTCAAGAGACCAGCCACGTATTTTTTTTAGGTCTCGAAATGAAACCCATATTTTTTTGGGTCGTCACATCTCCGAGTTCGATTTTTGTATCAGAAAATTATTTTATTTTAAATTATTTTATTAGGTTGTCTGTCAGTCAATACCGCCAAATTACCGAAGTGATTGATCGATCGTAGGAGTAGTGGGGCTGTGTATCGCGTGCGCAATAATTATGTCTATTTAGCTGCTGTGATTCAAGGCTCATCATAGTTAGAGGTAAACCCGGGGGGGGGGGTACTCTTGCCCGTTTAGGGTAGGGATGTGCCGCTGAGCCCTCTGAACCCTGACCCTGTTCCTGAGAGGAGAGAGCGTGATTTCATATACCCTGTTCCAGAGCTAGCGCGATTTTATATACCCTGTTCCAGAGTAGAATCGCTGAAAACCATACCCTGTTTGGCGGCACGTACTCGTATAGCGATATAGGGGAGTACCCCCCCCCCTCCCCCCCGGGAGGTAAATTGATTGAGCCGCAGCAAAATAAGCTTCTAAGGATTTCCAAATGCCTCGCAATTCAAATACTTATCAGTTTTAATTCAGCTACATAATGAGCAGTATTCTCTGCTTCAACAATCCAGGGTTAGTAGCGAAATAGAGCTCCCTTTCTTGTGAGCACAACATTTTGTTAATGTGAAGCTATCCGGCATTCATATTCAAACGACGCCGGTTTCTTCTTATAGAATGATAATTAATGGTGGGCAAACACAAAATAACTTGGCGAGGAACAAAAGCGAAAACGAACATCATCATCATCATCATCATCATTATCATCATCATCACCACAATCACCATCATCATGATGATGATACAAGTACGGTGCACTACTCTTGGAATTAAAACAACAGCATATCCTGGTTACAAGGTTCAGCAATGCAATGTCATAATTGATGCATTGGGAGGATGGTCAAAGGAGCTAGAGCAAACTATGAAGAAGCTTGTTGGTGCCCGATCAAAGTGTGTTTTGGAGAAGATGCACAAAGCCACCATCTTTTACTCGCTCCATATAGCACGAACATTTAAAGCAACTGTTATATAAACTTGAATTTTTTAATTATCTTAGGATACTGTTACAGAATTATAGAATATAGAGGGGTTTTTTTGTTGCTAGAAATTTATTGTAATTATTGTATATACATTTTTTCCCGAACCATTTTAAAGATAATGATTTTATAGGGACATTGCGCCCTATACAGGTCATAGTAGATTATTTTGCATCTAAACGTTTTAGTACAGCACATAATAATAATAATAATGATAATAGTATATTAATAATAATAACAATGATGATGATTTGGCATGGGTCCCCGGTAGTGGAGCTTTGCTCATTGGGGTTTCCCTGCCCTTGTGCCGAAGCTTATGAAATAAGAATAAAATAAAAATAGCTACATAGCGAATAATATAGGTAATTTAACGTTTTTATTTTTTATTATTTAGTTAAGGTTTCTTAACAGAGACTTGTAACGCAATAGGCGCCTCATCTCTGTGTGAAGGCAATAACGTTTACAATGCCATAATAATAATAACGGTTTATTAGCATAATCCAAATACAATTTGGCTCTTACGATGCTAACTAACTATCTATAGACAAAAGAAATAGGTAGATAAAAAAATATGTATATATATAATATTGAATACTAGACAGCGAGGGGTGAAAACTCAATAAAATGCAAGGATTTATAGATATCTTTTATGAGCTTCGGCAAAAAATATTTTCTTGGTAAAGTTGCACTGTTCATTCAAATCGGTACAGTTTCTGATGGTTGCGGGAAGACTATTAAATTTGCTAGATGCTTGATCTTGAAAAGTACCTGATACTAGTGGTACCTTAATTCAAGCTCACAAGATGAGCGGAGAGTGCGTGGAGTGTGTGCTGGTATGCACTGTTCTATTTTGATATAAGGATCAGGCCAATAACTAGAATACAATGCTTTGAACACTAGGTTACACAAATGTAACTCTCTACGCTGTGCTATAGGAAGTCAAACTAGCTTCTGAATATATATCAGATGCATAGGATAAGAAACAGAATCATTAAAATCGATTTTAGACAAAATGAGAGATTCAGCTAGTTGTTTCCTTATATGAAATGGGGCAGAGTTTTTGAGTATTTCAAGAACTGCTAAAGTTCAATAGCAACTAGAAATTTTAGAGTTGGTATCCATGTTCCTCGTTCAATTTTTGGTGGATCTCAGTTCCAAGGAGGCGAGTTGGGGTAACCCTTTCAAGCACTTATCCATTAGAGTCAAAGGACATGAAGCGTGCCCAGCTAGACTGCGTTATTTAATTAATTCATAAAACGATTTTTGGTCGTTCCAATCTTTCGAGAATGAAATCAAATTTAAATCCAAACTTGGAAACTTGATTGGGTTTCTTTTCACCATTTGTACAAGTTTGTAGCTGATAGAAAAAACGAGAATCTGTTTGAGCTGATGATCAATAGATAATAGATTTTGTTGAAAATTCTTCAATATAAGATTCAAAATAATTTTTGGGTTGAGTGTCTCATTTTTTACGGGCCATCGATTACGCAGACTTACAAAAATAAATCATGTCTCTCACAGTAACTTCGAATCAATCAAAATATCTAAACACAATACCACATTTCTATTGCTTGTCGATAAAATAGATAATTCCGTTATTTTTTAAATCTCAAATGGTTAAAAAGACTTAAAAAATCATGAATTAACCGTTATACAGTTGCTGATCAATGTTTAGGAATGCGACCTTGTGACCTTATTAGGATTGCGACGTAAAAATAGACAGTTTCCCAGAAAACAAGCGTTACGCTAACGCTTCGATTCAAATTGACGCTCTACCTGTTTGCTTAGACTTTTTTACTCGCTCAAAAGTTTATTTGATCAAAATTCCATGTTATTGATTATGAAGACAGCAAAACAGAACGCAAATGTGGGTATTTGAGTGTCATTGAGTGGTTTATATTTGTTCGCAAATATTTCTCACGTCAAAAAGCAAAGAATTCCCTGTGAAAAGCCTGTGATAAGCCAATGCAATCAGATTTCGAGGGTTTTCATTTGATTTTTGAAAATAATTACGGAATATTAGAAAATGAAGAATGATCTCAAAAATCGAATAATGAACTGAATAATGCATTCTAGATGGGCACGCTTCATGTCCTTTGACTGTAACAGAAAGGTTGGATTGATAGTCATCGAGTTGGTGGACACGAGCCAGTTGTGACACGAGTGAAAAACGTCTGCGCATGCTCTGAATCCGTATGTAAATTAGTCAAAACGTATGTAAATTTTACAGTTCAAACATGCCTAAGTAATTGGACTTCACCAAATGCCAAAACTTAGTGTCCATGCTTGAAACCTAAGRCTAATTCTTTCATATTGTGTTTGTTAATACAGTATCTTGGTTTGACAAAAGTATACTCGCGAACTTTTTTGTATACTTGGAGAAAACAAACATTTATTTTCTCACTCAAACTCTTCTAAATTCTTAGAAAACGTGCTGAAATACACGCATGAGCAAACGTTTTTCTCTAGTGCGCCAGTTGTTGGGTGGACGGCGGCATAAACTTGGTTTTCTGTGGGTTTAAAGCGAGGTTGTTGTCATGAGGCCAACATGAAAACTGCGGTTCAGGACATGTTGTAATCGCTCCTCACAGTCTTTAATACCATCAGGCTCGGAATGCGCGTAAAATGTGGTATCTTCATATTGGTGCGACGAAACCGGCAAGCCATATCTGTCTGGTCGTGAACATCAATGATATGCACAAAGTGTGCACAAAGTGTGCATATCATTATTTTGACGAAATATCATTATGTTACATTAATATTTGTCAGATTATTTTAGTATACTGGAACGGTTGATGGTCACCCTGTGGTATAATTTGCATAAATTCGGAAACCCAGATTCGGCCCCTCGTACAGACCGATACGGATCGTACGGTCAGTATCGGCCCGTGCATCGGCCCGTGCATCTCATTATTCTTACAAACGAAGAATAGGCAACCCAAGCTCACTACGTTTATAAGAGAATAATATACTCTTCCAAACTCGCTGAAACTGCATACAGGAGTTAAAAAGAAACAGAATGACAGAATAGGTAAGTCGTCAAACTTTTATTTATGTTTTTCCAAAGAAAATACGGCATATTCTAAATCCCCATACATTCTCTTATAAATGTCAGTGCGCGAGCTTGGGTTGCCTGTGGTCAGCTATCGCTATTGAATGTGCGATACATTCACATTTATAAGTTGCACCTGTGATGAGAAGGAGCGCCAATCCTGGATTTACCAATCCTTCTGAAACGTGAATTATGTCAGCAGGTAAGCTTGAGTAAATAACCTAGTAGCCAATTCAAGTAGGAGTTGAATCGTAAGTCCAATATTGTAATGGCCTGCAGCTTATTGTGACGAACTACACATAATTTATTTCAACTTCTGAAAGCAGTATTCTCTGTAACCGAAGATCATTGCTAAGGAAGGAAAACAGCGCTTTAAAAGTAAATAATTATGCCTTTTTGTTCTTCGATACATAAAGAACAAGACTCATTCTGATGTCATTCCGGAGCTTTGTACTATATTTCTGCAGTTTCTTCAAGCAAATTCTGAAGTTATATTAAGTTATTTTGGCTCTAAAGACTACTATAAATAAACATGAAGTACAGAGAAGTTTCATGATTCAGGCTTTTGATATATATTGTTTTGAAATAATAAGAATTGAACTTCTAATAACTCAATAAAACTTTTAGAATATGTCCATTCGGATTTAGAAATATCAGTGAACATAAAACTATGAAATTTAAAGCAATTGCAAGAAAAATCTTTGATTTACCTTGGTCTTAAATGAAGCATTTCGATTTATAAATACCGAGTTAGAACTGATTCCCGTGAGACTACTTTGTAGCCTGCGTTCAGCCGGTGTCAGGGATTTGTGTTCCCCCGAGTTAAGTGTTCCCCCGAACACTAGCCACTAGTGTTAAGTTTGTGTTCACCCCTCACCTCCCTTTGTAACATCTTTTGACACGATTCTCTCCCCCAGGTCAAGGATGCTGTATAGTCTGTATAAATGATTGGTTTTCGGTTTACAAACCGGCTAAATCTTAGAATTTTCTTCAAATCTGAATTCAACGAACGAATTCGAAAAATCATGGAAGCTTCACAGGATGATAATGTTTTTAACTATTTATGCCGAAAGGAACATCCTCCTGATTTTGTGAATAAAGAAAAATATGTTTTACCAAGAATGTACAAGAAGTCAGTCTCGTTTGTGCGTGAGTTTCTTCGTGCCCAATTATTTCGAGCATCGCGTACTATGGTACGTAGGAAAAAGAGGGGAGAAGAGAGTGGTAATCGGAGGACGTGAAGCGAAGCAAAGGGACTTTGAGGAGTGTCATTCATCTGTTTTCAGCGGCCATGTAGGGCGAGACAATACAGGAAAGAAATTTTGCATATGATTTTTGCCACGAGGCCAAGAAAAGAACTCGCTTGATTTATTAATAAATTCGGTAAATGAAATTTTATCTCCCAAAATACCAACGACAGTAGAGGATCACGTGGTTATACGATGTACGATAAAGATGTACGATAGAGATAATCCATTCATTTTTCGTTTTCAGAGTAATAGTTCTCTTTGATATATGTCCTTGACCTGGGGGAGAGAATTGTGTTACAAAGATGTTACAAAGGGAGGTGAGGGGGGAAAACAAATCTGTGTCACCAGCTGAACGCAGGCCAACTACTTTGCAAAGCGCTAAATCGCGTGACACCAGACACGACTTGATTACTTATGCTTAAAAATTGGACTGGACTTTATGACGAACTGGAATTTGGACTTTAGAACCGATTCTTATTGATACTTTCGATTTTTACTGGGATATTTTACCAATTAGCTCCTGCTACAATCAAATAGTAAACAGGTACGATTTCCCTTTTTGGGGGGCTGGGAAAATGGTATTTTATGCACTGGTAATCACAAACGAAAAAAAACATTAAAAATGGTAATGGCATCGATTCAAGCAAAATATAAGTTTTACATACTTAGTCGCTACAGCTCCAATTTTTCACACACCAACCTAAAAATAGCAACTTCTTTATAATCCGGGTCAGCCAATCAGATCACTTTTAGGATTTCCTAGGGCCCTATGATAATGATAGCTAGCTCTTGGAATATATCATAGGGTCTGGTAATATCATCCTTACTGTCTGCATGTCACCCGTTCTTCCGTCACACCTAAAACACGCACTGATCATGCATGTAAATTTACTAGTAAAAGTACTAGTAAAACATTGCACGCTCTCTCGCTCCTAGATCGACATTTTAATCATATACAGTGACATCCTATACACATCCCTTCACATTTGTATTTTATTATGCAAGACAAAAGAATATGAAAAAATATAATCTCGAATATTTTCCAAAAAAAGCGATTTATTATTAAACACAGGCATTTGTTTATAGATGTTAAGCTTAAATATGATTGGACAAAACCATGTACTTGAGTTCAAACGCCCCTCGGTCACGCACGAAGGAAGTACTAGTAAAAGTACTAGTAAAAAATTCGTAATATCAGATCGCTCGCTCTCTTGTTGCTAGTAGATAGAACGACATTTTAACCATAGGCAGTCTTCGACAAACACTTTTCAAGTAAGTTAAAGTCGATTACTTTTTTTTCTGACGATGATTTTTATTTAATGTTATTAGGCGAACGGCGACATCATTACTTTCGCGGCCAAAATAGCATATAAAAGACCCCCCGGAAAAACAAAAACCCCTCCTTATATACGTTAAAAAATATATATGAAGTAGGATATTTGAAGTCTACTTTCCTTAGCCCTTCGAGATGTAGACCAGACAGCCACATAATGAATGTTTTGGCGCTGAAATTCCAAATACTTATTTTTACCTTTATCTTTCACTATGTAGAAACTTTTTTCATTCTCTGGAACACCGCAGAGGTGAAATTCTCTTGCTCCTTTCTCGCTCCCAGAATTTTTTCTGGGAGCAAGAAAAGACTAACAGAACTTTACCCCCGGGTTTCCGAGGACGCTGCTTTCCGAGGATGCTGCTTTCCGAGGATGCTGCTTTCCGAGGATGCTGCTTTCCGAGGATGCTGCTTTCCATGCTCGAGAAGTATTTCTTGATAAAAAACCCCGTAATTTCGTACGAGCAGGGCGTACAAATTTCACAATACTTTTCTTTACTTCGTAAATATTATTAACCTTGCTGTGTGTATTGCAGAATACTCTAATCGGCATGCCAATCTAGCTCCTCAAGACTTATGAAGCGTGCATCTAATAATATTAAAAGGTTTATTAAAATGATTAAAGTCGTTTGCTGCTCATCAGACCTGAGTCTCCTTTTTAACCTCCTATCGCCCATAGAGGAGGTAAAAGGAGACTCTGCTGCTATTATATCTTAGTTATTTTATAAAAGAGATAGAAAACTCCCCTTGCTTGTGCTATGTTGAGTTATGCACCTGTCAATTGAAACCCCCACCCCCTCCACCCCATGGGAGGTATGGGGCATAGTTGGGGAATTGTTGGGGATTTGATCTGTTGATTTGCCCGATGGGTTGGGGTATTATACGTGTTTTAGTACTTTGCCTGGCTTTTAGGGATGGGGATTTGAACATTTTGGGCACTTCTTTTACCGTGGGGGTAGGGGACTTGTCAATTTTGAAAGGTGGAGGACTGGGGTGGAGGAATCTTGGCAGAGCAACCAGGGTCACAATATAAGTGAGTAAACACTTTTTTTTTTTGTATTTTTTATATGAATATCTGAATTGAGAGCTCATCTGTCCTTTTGATATCAGTAAAGAATAACTATAAGAGATTGATCTTGTATTTTTTGCTCTGATGACAGTCTTCCAATGTCGATATTTTTGCCTCAAACTTTCATGTTTTAAAATAGAGCTTTTGCTTTGGACTTCTTATTTTTGATATAAAAGCTTGTCTGCATTGATTTTTTTTAAATGTGCAGTTTCTGTTCAGTTTCATTTTATAAAAAGCAAATTCAAAAAATGATTAAAGAAAAATGATAAAAAAAGAAAAGATATTCACGCAATTTCTCGTGTGCATGTACAACTCAACATAGCACAAGCAGGGGGAGTTTTCTATCTCTTCATGATTATTTGAACCATCATTTGTTTTACGGTCGGAACTCGCGGCTCCATAAAATGGTTTTATTATTCGATTACACATTTTGTAAGGGGGTTTAAAATGACTCAAATTCTCCCAAAACTCGTCGAAAACGTCAATGGACAAACAAACACGCAATGGAAGAAAGGTAAATTTTATTGAAATATTTCCATTGAATCAAACAGTGTTTAAAAAATTTTCATACATTGCCTTATAATATGTGACACACATAGCACTTGGACAGACAAACACGCAATGGAAGAAAGGTAAATTTTATTGGAATATTTTTGAATAACAATGTTTAAAAAATCTCCATGCATTGCCTTATAATATGTGACACACATAGCACTTAACCAAAACATTTATTTAATAGAAAAGCTAAAAAAATGGTATAATTAGAGGACAGAGTGTTATCATAGTTTGGTGACCCAATCTTGTACCCAGAGCCCTTATTTCTTACTGCGCATGCTCGACAAAATAATTGGGCTTAACTGAGCACGTAGGCATTTTGTCTGCGCATGCGTGCAAATATAAGTTTTAATAGAAAAACCGCTGAATTGAGCCTGCAGAGATTTTATTTTCTGTCTAACAGCGCTTGTTTACTAGTTCTCTGTGTCCTTTGGATACCATTTAAAAYGCTATCGAATGGATATTTTATTGCCTTATGAAAAAGGTTGTCGCTAAGTCATTATTTTACTCTTTATTTTAATAAAATCATGTAGAAATTTCAACGTTGAGAACGAGAGATTAGTGTTGAAAGGCGCTAAAATAGATAGAGGTAAGGGATCGGAGGTAACTCGGTTAATTCTTTCTTAATGACAAGGTTGATGGTTCATTTCTAAATTAAGTTAACCTACAATCACCGCGTTGGGGTAGAGTCGTGAATAATTATTATTTCACTGTACAAGTACTGTACTTGTTTTCTTCTTGCAAGCATATTTGAAAGTGGTTACAATCAGAGAAAATTATCTAACTGGTAAAATTTCCTTTTTTATTCATGTTTCATGGTTAGACTGACTTAATATATAAGAAAAAGAAAAGGCCCAATAAAGTATATATACACTTGCTGTAAATCCACTATTAAGCATCCCCTCTCCAATAAACCCCCCCCCCCCCTTTCTAATAAGTAACCCCCTTTCTAAAGAAAGAATTTTTTAAAGCCAAACCTTCCCGATTAAAGAAACATGTATACTGATTAAATGTGATTTATTAAAGTCTTGATAGTTCACCAACATGTTAAATCACACTAATTTGGCCCTTATTTTCGGTTGCATGACCTTCCCACTTCAGTTTTTCCCACTCTGCACTCTAGTTCCTTGTGAATTTAACAAATCAAAGTCAGGTTTCTATGGGTCTGTACTGTAATCGAAAATGATGAACCTGACAGCTTAGAACCTACTGCATTTGGGCTAAATCAATACTTAAGTCCCCCTCTCCAATGAGCCAATAAGCCCCCATCAAACTACCTGAAATAAATAAGCCCCCCCCCCCCCACAGCTTAATTTAATAGAGGATTTACATATGAAGTAAAAGAAATCTTTAGTTTTATTCATTTCATAACCATGATCATGAACAACCTGTGCAGATAATTAACAGAATAGCATATAATCAAATTAATTGTATCACCATCCACGAAAAAATGTCATGAGATACCCATCTAAATTAATCCTAATGATGCTGTCATCCCAAGATTAAAAAATAAATTTGGTCAGTTGTGGACATCTATATATTAGACTAAAAATGATAGTATATTGCAGCCTCATTTACTATAGTGATTGTCATAGGATTGGACCAGTACATCAATACAACAGTGCAGCTTGTCGGTTTAATTAAATTTTAATTTTAATTTAGTCTTTACAATGAAAATATAGAAAGGAACAATTCAAAACAACATTTACTCCTTGTAGTTTGAAAAATAATTCATTCCTATCCACCTTCCTTCTTCTCAGGACCAGCAGACTACCTTTTCATCATACACCTCTACCTATAGACAGGAACAAAGAAACTATATTTTTATTACATTTAATTATCATTCCCTTTTCCTAATTATTATGTAAAGAAATTTCTTCCTAAAGATTGGCTGAGGCCCCATTGAGAGGTTGGAATCCTAATAATTATAAACTTATAACAAATTTCTCTGGAACTTCACATCAACTGAAAATTGTTTCAACAATTTTGGAAACCATTTATTACAGACTGTAAGTAGCTAGATTATTAGCTACCTTGCAATTGGGCAGCTCTAAGAGCCATGATAGTTTTTATTTCTTCAATGGTTTGTAACCCTTTAAACTTCCTCTATCTAGTACCTTATATATGCTTCCTTATACATGCATTCATAGCACATAGTGTAATATTAGTTATTTACATAGTGAAAGTGAAAAATCTTCAAAAAATGGTTTAAGGCCATAACTTCTGTTTTGACTTTTAGATTTTAATACGAATTAGAACTGCCTTGTCATTTCTAGAGTGTGAAAAGAACACGAGTTTACTGCATTAGCGTACAACAGTGAGCCAAGATGGCCGATTTAGGCATGACAGGTCAGCTGTTTGAAATTACTGTGTAAAGCCTGCACAATTTTTCAAGGCAAATGACTATGCCCAGTTGATTCTATRGCCTATTAGCTCTTAAATGATAACAAATAGAAATTTGGGGAAAAGCAAAAATAAATAGAAATTTTACTTTTTCTTACTCGGGGTAGCATTCACTCTAATGATATTTTAGCAGTAAAAGTCTTACGAACTATGCCAATAGTTTTGGTGACAAAGATAAGCAATTTAAAAAACAACTACAATAAACAAGATTGAGGTGTTCAAGCTACCTTATATAGATATTTCAACAACTTGAAGATCTTGGTAAACCTAAACAAGGAAAATTACCCAAGATTTGAGGATATGCTGAGGTAGCTGGGATGGTCTTAACATTTCCTTTAACACCATATGCCACACAATTTTTCAGTACAAAAAAATTGTACACCTGTAAAGATAAAAGAAAGGCCATTCTAATAGAGGTAATTTCCATCTTGGGGAATAGTAAAACTTTCGAGTAAATTGACTTTGAATTTGAGTAAAAATTATCTTACACGCGAATTTGGCCATCAAACAGTCTCCTATTTTAGACGATCAGCTTTCAACTAAAAGTTATAATTCAACAAAATTAAAACATCAAAGAATAATTTCTCACCTTAAAGAAAGATTTCCTCAATTTACTGGTTAGATTTGAAATACAACAGGAACAAAGTGAACCATGTCTTGAGGTTTTTCCCTTTCGGGCACATTTTGACGAGTGATTTATCTCCAAATAAAAGGACGATGTACTTGTTGATATGCTCATGTGCTAGTCCTTCGTCTCTAGTTTTGATCCTCTTTGAAGCTCTTCCATCGAATGCCTCTAAATTCTGAGAACGTTGATCAGAAAACCCACAGACTGTGCATTCC